GCTGGAGAGCAAGGCCTTGCTCTCCAACAACTTTTTCCATACAAATCTTCTTATTCTTTTAAAAATTCAGACCGTCATAAAATCTCATTCTTTAATGATAGGGGTCTCAAACTTGTCCATTTTTATATTTCCGACATGCTTTTTCCATTTCTGGCATTCGTTAAGTTATAGCCCATAATTTTATGAAAAATAGGTCACGTGATGGCTTAGCTGCAAAGGGCCTATTGTTTCCTTATTTTAACTAATGTTTTCTTCAATATTCTTGTAACTTAAAGGTAACTACAATGCTGGATTCCAGTGAAATTAAGATAAGAAACTCGTATTGCGGACACAAGCTGCATTTGCAAAAGCTACAATAAAGAACTTCACACGTTTCTCGCCTGTGCTACTCAACCTGGTTCCCAGGGCTTTTCCATCCAAATTCAAGGGATAAGCACTGAGCACGAGGTTGTGTGCTGCTGATAGCAAGCGCGTTTAACAAGATATACTCTGGCATACGTTCGCAGCATAAACGCCAATTTACTCTTGACTTGCTGAAAAATTTAAAATGACCAAGGCTTTTCTCGAGCAAAAGAGATTCAGTCATGGTCGTCACGCAACTCGGCTATGCGTGACGGTCAATGTAACACCAGCCTGATGAGCGTCAGCGCGAGTCCATATCTAATAACATTCCTATATGAAATACTGTGTTACAAAGCGTTTGCCCTTGGCTTTGAATCTCTTTGAGTGGAAGTCCTGTTAGTTGGTTTAGAGGAAAAAGAAAACGTTTTGTGATAATAGACGGCTCAAAGTCTCTCTCACACATAGACTAATCTCCAACATGAGGGAATCACAAAACAACTTACGACAATTCATGTAACCGTCGACAACTCAAAATCGTGAAATCAGTCCCAAATTGTTGGGTTTAACTTCTCGGCTTTTTTCACCCTCTTATACCACAGGACACCCACACAAGTAATCAGCATGGGACTTTCGGTTGAATAAAAAGTTGAACCATATTATGTCACTTGCTGGGGAACAAAACTTCCTGAATATAAAATAGAACCTAAGGTACTTCTGCACCCAATTGAAGGGGGGCGTGAAACCGTAACAAATTTACAATGATGTTTGCCACCCCTAAATTATTTACAATGATCGTGTGCTAATAGCGTGCACAACAATGGACACTTAAGTCCAAATTGGAAACACAGGCAACTAAAACAGTTATATAACAAACCTTATGTTGCCCGTCATTAGAAACGGAAAATTCTACCTAATGATAACTGTCAAAGTTGTAAAATATGTCTACATTAGCCGCTATCAATTGACTGTTTTGCTACTCTGGAATGTTACTTATCCCAGCCTAACTCTTCTTCTCTGGGTTTCGAGGCTGAAGGCGAACTATTGAGTAGTTCTATCAAATTCTGGTAACCACTAATTAAATTAGAAATTTTCAATGTGAAACCTGCATAAACGCAATACTGCCTAAGCGCAATGAGAATGCCCAAAACTCTACTACTTAGCCTTTCCCACACAGCACCCAAGCATAACAGGTTTGCTAAGATAACCGTAACAGCAACTGTTGTATAACAATAAATAATGGCCACAAAATGGTCGACCAGATAAATATGCACCGGTCATGCAATCCAGTTCGAGCAAACTACTGGAAAGCACTGCAACAACTGGTTTATCCTATAGAGCCCAAACTTCAAAGAGCGGCACTTTGTGGCGGGAAAACTGTGACGAACGCGGTACATTACGGCGAGAAAACTGCGACGAACGAGGCACATTATGGCGGCAAAAAGAACTGGGACAGATACACCACATTGTGGCGGGAAAACTACCTTTGCTCACAAAGCGTGGAACACAACGGAATACTAGTAACTGATTGCTAAGCAAAATAGAAATCATGGACTGTAAATGAAACCAAGTCCCCTTGAAAAAAAAATTACATACACTACACAAACAAGTCATACTATCGCATCGCTACGCTGGGTCAACCAACTCACCAGTCACTTTCTCAAGCCTGGTAACAGCTGTTCCAAAACTATCTCACCGCAAATCCAGAATTAAAAGCGGGTTTACAAATTTCCCTCTATAGCAAAGCTTTTCAATGCCTTTTTGTCAAGAGATAGAGTTGGCCAAAGTCAAAACTAATGGTCACAAAAAAAAGAAAAAAAAAAACACCCGAAAACCTCACTGAAAAGTAACTCAAACTGAAATAAAGATCCGGGCTGGCTCTGGATTAGCTCAATCAAGCTTTAACAACCATCCTCGGTGTGCGCATTAATATCAATTTTTTACTAGAGTTAAATTTACTTTTTTGACATTATTTTTATCGCCTACAAAGGCACTCGACAATAAATATAAATACGCTTAAATAAATCACGAGTCCATCTGAGAAAAATTGTAATAATTATAACAAGCAATAATATAATAAAATAGACACAGGAGTCCCTACTGAATTTTGTTACACGACTGGAAGAAAATCATTTTCATACCAAGGCTACCCTTCAAGAGCTATAACGCTCTAGAAAAAATGTTTCTTATACATGCTTCTTTACAACATCCAATCAATTGTGCATAACGTTATGAAGTAACGCTGTGATATGAGAAAACTGTTTTGAAGACACAAAACTCATAAGGCGGATTCCATTTTCCGAGTTTTCCCAGTTGGTTTTAATACATGCATGCACCTAATCTACCCTTCCCTGCAAGTTGGATCTGTTTCCACTGATAAAAAAAATTCATTAAATACCTGCTTTTTTAAATAAGCTTTAAATCATCTAGTGTTACATAACATTGTAGTTCTACTTTACAATTTCGTGAACAGTCTCCAAACAGTTAGCTTGGTAACCTTGCCTCCAAATTTACAGCTTGGTAACCTTGTCTCCAAACAGCGAGGCATAAGTGAGTTCCAGTTCACACACGGCCAAATGTTTCAGTTTTGTTTCGTGTAGGGTTCGGAGGTCTTTCAAACTCTGGAATGGAAACCACAGAATCAGTGCTGCAATAATATAACGCTCAGGTACACAGAAATGTCAACAGCTCCGTCCCTGACCCTCAACCTAACCCTAGGTACCTATGAACAACTGTAAAGTAAATAACAGATCAGCTGTTGAAATAATGATATAAGCAAACCTTTTTCTTGTCCTCATCAAGTAACTCATAGAGCTTGTCATGTTCCTTCTCTAACTCCTCGCTCTCTTTCTTGTGAAACTCAGCCATCTAAAATCACCAAATATTCAAAACAGTTGTAACACCTTTCATTGATTAGTGTGCTTGTTTATGCAACAATACGGAATACACTCTGCCCTGGTCACAGGGCTGGCTAGCTTGCTGGCCGGCTGAGAGATAGACGGACTCACATTTGTGCTGACCCTTCCCACATTCCATAAAATGCACAATAAACTATCAACAAACCTTCTGTCTCTCTTTCACAGATTGCTCTATGTGTTTTTTGTTCTCCTCACGTTTTCTCCTGGAAGGTACACATGAAGGACAAAGGAAAGAAGGAATGAGGCAACAACAACATTTATTTGTACCAGAAAGAAGAAGAATGGATAAAGAGCAGCAATAGTAATGAGACAGACATGCAGGCAGACAGACAAACAGACAGATGGACAGGTACACAAACCGAGATGGACCAACAGATGAACAGACAGACAGAAAACCGATGGAATGGACGTGATTGTGAGGCAAGCGATTATGCATAATTATTAATATGGTACAATGTCAAACCTTTGGAGTTCGTCTTTGTTTGAATGGTGACGAGCCAGAACTTTTAACTCTTCTCTGTTTTGATTGTCTTGGCTCTTTTTTAAGTCATTCATTTGTCTGAAAAATGTAAGAGCATGTATCTGTGTACCACGTAGCAAAGATATTTGATTATGAAATCTATGTTCCAGTAATAATTGCCAGATGAGAGTATATTCTTTTTCGTTTCAAACATTTCAAAGAGTCTCATCATTTTTTGGAGAAACTTGTGTATAACTGTAAAAAAAATTCAAATGAATAAAGCAAGGAAGTCTTACTTTCCGTGCAAATCCGCCAGTAATTTCATCTTTTCTTCTTGTGACAGCTGCATCAATCTCTCAAGTTCCTCTTGTTTCTGGACAGAAATTTAACATAAAAACATCTGAGCCGGGTTGTTGAAAACTCGATTAAGCTAACCCAGGATTTGGCAAAAATTTTGATTTCAGTTTTGAAACTTTTCGGTATTGTTTGTCCTCCAGTTCTGAGGTTCAATAATCTCAAACTACACAAAGCATAAGAAGTGAAAAACAATGATATTCATACTAGAAAACTTAATACTTCGGTTAGCTTTTAATCCTGGGATAACTAAAACCGTCTTTTGAACAACCCGGCCTGGCTTTGAAAGTGAATACTGATTACAAAAAATCCCAGCTTACTGGAGTTAGTTGCTTCTCAGCCAGTTCCAGCTGTTCATTCAACTGTCTTCTCAAGAGATCGATCATTGCTTCACGGTGCTCGCGTTTAAGAGAATTGATCTATAAAAGGCAACAACAAAAGCATTATCAGTTAACCGTTAAACGTTAAACGTTGTCACACACCACTAGACTAGCATGAAAATATTATGCAATGGCTTAGCAACTAGCAAGATATTTTTGCGAATATAAGAGAAAGTCACATTACAGCACAAAAACGCGCCAGAAAGATACTGATTTTGTGTAGATTGTAGAAATTGAATAAGGAAGAACGAGCAAGATTTATGTCATGCAAGTATTGTGTCATGCAAGACGTTCAGTCACGTCTTTTGTCATGCAAGCCAGTGAAAACCTCCATAGCATAGTGCACTCCAATATTAAATACAATGTTGAGCTATCAATGTCCGTTAGCCAGCCATCGTACGAAGAGCTGCAAGCAGTGTTTGGGACATCATCACACAACATTAGGACTACTCTGAGAAAATCCAAAACAGTAAACCACAATTCGTAAAAAATGAAAACTGGGTGACGCATGCATGTCTACATGTGATGCAGTGGTTGTTTGTGCGATAATTAAAGTAGAAACTATGTCCGTGGGCAAGACCTAGAGCGTGCAGAATTTCACGCAGTCTGTCAATTTAAGTCGGACAATTTTCACATGCTATCAACAAATTCAAGGAGGAAATACCGCATTTCGTTTTGGAAAATGTTGAGAAACACCACCACATTAAAGGACTACTCAATAGCCTTAATTTCAAAGGTCACACACTACGGTTTCATCCACAGACCTACAAGTTAGAACCACGTTGTACGGCATAATGAACAGTACCACATGAAAGTACTGCTCAATAGCTTTCATTCGAATGGTCACACACTAGGATTTTATCAACATATTTAAAATAAATTCTACACAAAAATCTCCAGCCTAGAAAAACTGATAATTGAAATAATGTTCGGAACAAGAGGCTACAACACTGTCTTGTCAAGGTGGCAAAAAAGTGAGAGCTTTGAGAGAGGTTGCGTACGAGGAAGTTGCAAGTATCTCATGCAATCAAACCCTTAAGGCAACTGATTTCAAAACTAGGGATTTTAAGAAACACATTTTGTTTATATCTTCATGTCATTTCGAAAATCCCTCTAAGCACCAAATAATTCCAGTCCTAGAGGTATCACCTCAGCAACAGCAAATATATTTATTTCCACATGCCATATTTTCTTTATCATCAACCTTTAAAAGGCCAAATGTGAAGCCAATGCTTTGTAAAGATGTTAAAACTGCAATGAATTTGGTCACATCTGCCTTTTGAAACAAGACAGCTCAGTAACCATTTAAGCAATAGAGCACTTTCTCCGTGTTGACATCGCCTCATCTAAACACAAGGGGGTTTCGGAGAATTCAACACGGTTATACAAACCCAAGACATAGTCGAGGGTTTGCACACTATAGAGAATTCTCCCAGCCCCCCTTGTGTTTAGATAAGACTATGTAAACACGGAAAAAGTAGTCTACTGCTTTTATACAATGTTTCTCAAAAATACACGGGAATCTAAAACGTCGCAACTGTTTTTACATATACTCTCATCTAAACACACCTAATGACCAATGAGAGTGCGCATAGTATCTACCGTATTTAATAAAAATAAATTTTACTTTCCACGTTTCACACAAACTAGTTATCTCCTTTTTCAAAGGTGTACGGTGTGCAGAGTGACAAAATTGTAAGAAATACTAGTGCTGTAGTACTGTTTACAGCCGTGAAATTGCATGTACGTACGCTTGTTTCTCTGTCAAGACCAACTGCCTCCTCCTAAGAGTTCCAAGAGAAGAAACCACAAGAGTTTTTACATCAAACTTGAATACTTCAGACCTCAGTTCAAGTAATGTGTCATGCAACTGAACTCAAGCCATGCAAGTTAAGATGTGGCACACGTACAAGCATTTACTTTAATACCGAATATTTTGCCCTGCCATGCAGTAAGGAGATTATCTACTTCATGCAGTCCTGCACATTAGGTTATTTCATGCAATTTGACTTACATCCACACCAGCAATTTATTTTATTTTACTGCAATAGTTCTGGCCAAATTTACATATCATGCTGTGTTCAGTGCAACAGAAAAAATAGCTATAGAGAACTCGGGCAAGTAGTTCACCACGTGCAATAATTCGTGTATTTACCACAATAAAGCATGCGCATAATGCATGATATACGATCAAGGTAAATGAAAGAATGATGTGTGGTTAGAGCATAAGATAATTATGTTGGTCAGTACAGTTACAGCACATTTCATTGAGTTTCAGAAAAAACATGTTACCCATGTTAGGCTAAATACACCTTAACTAATTGACAAGACAATTAGCGAGAACCAACAACAAACTCAACCCACTTATGACGCCAGGTCCGGGAATCGAACCCGGGCCACATTGGTGGGAGGCGAGTGCTCTCACCACTGCACCATCCCTGCTACCCCCAAAATCCATTCCAATAAAAAGAGCATAGGTTTAAGACTGTTTCAGACCTAAATCACCATGCGTACCCTAACCCATAATTGGTCAAATTTGACATAACTCCTCACTCAGGCCTGGTTTTCAAAATGTTGTCAAAATCCCAGATGAGAAACATGATGATCTGAGTGTTAATTGATTTCGAATTATGAAAAACATGATGATAAAATTAAAGTAGTTATTGATACTCCAACTTTAATGGGGATACCTTGGGAAAAAAAAAACTTTTTTGGTCGATATGTGACCATTTACAGCGTGTGAAAACACGCATTTTGATGGTTTGTGATCACGATTGGACCTAAACGTCTCGGGACTTGTAAGGAGCTTTGCCACGGTTACCACAACTTGAAAAGTTTAGCCTACATTTTTCAAGTCTGTGTTAATCTTCTTCATCCTTAATCATCCTTGTTCCTGTATGGTTCGTTATTATCTCTTTGGTGTTTTTATATCTCAGTAAACTACTATTTTCTGGTTTCCTTCAATTTAAAGGTAATTTTGTACCTGGCCAAAATATCGTGGCTGAGCTCCTTTAATCCCCAAGCCTGGTTAAGTCTCCAAACAAGCCCCAAGGCAATATCTGTAGCATGCTCCACAGAACAAGTGTAAGTTGATTGCAAGTCAATACCTCTGTGAAATATCTGCAAAGTCTGAGACCATCAGGTAACAGGCAATTGCCGATCATCTGGGATTTTCAATACATGAAAATCAGGCTTTACAACGAAATTGTGAATGTTTTAAAGGTAACAATTAGAATGCAGATTCGCGTCATCAGATTGATGCAAATGTTACCTTCAATTCATGACTTTGAGCAAGGCTATTCATGTCATCTACTCCTTTACGGTAAGTCTCCTCATAATTTCTGCAGAGAACAGTGAAAAATAATGTAACGGTTGTCTAAAATTCAAATTTAACATCTAAGAGTTAAGTTAATACATACCCCTTCTTCTCTGCCTTCTTTAGCTCTTTGTCGCCTTTTTTCTTTGCAGAAAATTTCTCCTTGTCCAGGTCCTTGAGCAATTTTTCTTGTTCTGACAAGTGATTCTTTTGAAGTTTGTCTTTATCCTGAAGTTACATACAGTAAAAACCAGCATGTAAGAACCTAAATTTTTTGAAGTCTGGCAAAATAGATTATTGTATTTTGGGGTAGTTATTGGCAATTTAGGCTAAGTAGGGTCTTTAATTAAGTTCTTAATTTCTTGATGAAGGAGACATATTGCTTATTACCAGAAAAAATAAATAAACTGGGCTTTAGTCCTTGAATATAGAGTACTTATTCACATTATTATCTGTATTTTCTTGTAATATAAATTTGCCATCTCGAAGTCACACTCCTTGGTTAAAATGTTTATCATAATTTAACTGTAACCCACAGATAAGAACCTGCTTGATCTTGCTTGACTAAACAGGTTCTTATATTTTGGGTATTAAAATGGCAAATTTCTCGCTGCAGGTTCTTAAACCACTAGATTCTTACACGCAGGTGTTTACTGTAACATCAGTTAACAACAAAGCAATGTGTGCAGAGAGCTATGCAGCAATGCTCTGAATACAAAATGACGGATAAAACGATAGCTACTTCATTATTTAACAGGCAAAAACAAGTAAATTTACCTTTTCATGTTTTTTTACAAGGATGTCCATCTCTTTCTGATGTTTCAGGTTAAGTTTTAGGAATGCCTGAGAACATTAAATTAAGAAAAATAAAAAAAAAACTAATTAAAACAATCAATGTGACGAGTTTGGGACTTGACTTAGTGGTTGTGAGTTACATGAAAAAAGCACCCCTGGGGGAGCTAAAAAAAAATCTCGTCTCATCAGACTATAAAATGACAAAAATTGCAGGCTGCATGATTTTGGGGTTTTTATTTGGAAGAGAAATTGCAGTTCAAACATCTTAGCTGCATACAAGACAACTGTTTGACAACCTCTCTAAACATAATATTGGAAGGGGGGGGGGGACAGTTATCATCAGCAGGATTTTTACATTTTGGTATGTTACATTGAGATGTTCTTTAATGAGTAATTGATCTCTCTTTACCCGATGTCAAACCAAAATAAAAACCACACTAATGACATATCTCTGTAGACAACAAAGTACTCCATCAATTCTGTGCACAAGTCAGACGGTCGGTCAGTTGGTTGGTCGGTCGGCAGTCAGTCAGCAGTCAGTCAGTCAACGGTCTTGTAACAAAGGTAGCCCTAAAATAGTTTGACAAATCTAACAAACAAGTAGCCTCCTATGTGGACACTCTTCATGCAAGCTTGCGTGATGAGCCCAAGGAGCATCTGCATAGGAGGTCAACCAACAAGTGGCCCGCCTGTAAAATATACAAGATAAGTTAAGAGAACTCAAGTTAAACAGTTCTTCCACTTACCTTACGCTCCTTAAGTTCCCTGACGGATGCAGGTTCTACTTTTGTATCTGAAAATAGGAAGCAATCTTTTTCAGCTGTGTCCAAAAATATCTCACCACAAAATTCACAACATCACCATAAAGATTACAGGTAAAGCTAAGATATGAAGCTTTTAGATGAAACAAGATTGTTCAATATTTGTATGAATTCTTGCAAATGCATTAAAGGAAAGTGTTTCAAATCCTCAACATCCAATCAATGACAAGTGCGAGTACTCTTCAAATGTCGTAGCAAGTAGCTCATTAAAAAATCCTTAGTGGTACACAACGTGTTGCTAAAAAGCCTGCAAGTATACTTTATTATGGCTAATATAGGCACTTGTTCTCCCATGTGAATTTGTTGTATTTAAACATCCACACAACAACAAAAAGCTATGACATTAAAGTCTTCGATGACAACCATTCCTTTAGGTTATAAGTTTCTCTAGGGGGTGTTTGCTCTGAATAGCTCCTATGGCCTCAAAATAGCTTTGAGTTAATAGGGACTTCTTATGAAATAATTCAGGTAAAGTTAACCAACACAAAGGCTCTGACATGCAAAAAATGCCTTCAGACTAAATAGAAAGAAGCAATTCAAAAGGTCTTGATAAAATCAGGCACAGACCTAGGGGTGGTGAAAGGTAAATGCAAGACTTTGCGAGAACGCAAGACTAGCATTTTTCTTTGCGAGCCCGAGACAGTTTGACTTGTTCAATTGTGAGACGGAGACTTCAAAGGATTTTAAATGCGAGCTCAAGACGTTCAGGTTTTAAGACTTTCAGACATCATAATTTAAAAGCTTGTGTAAAAAATATAAACAAATTGATACTTCAAGACTTTCTTAGCCTTGAAAAAAACTCGAGACTGCGAGATGCACATAACTGCTAAAAAACACGAATGTGAGACACATGAAATTTGGCGAACATTTTGCGAGACCCATGGTTTTCGAAAGACCATTCACCACCCCTAGAACTACATTTAAAAAATAAGCAACTACTTATAGCTAGAAGAAATTAAAATGAAAATGTGAATAAGCAGTGTTTTTTGACCAATAATCTTGTTTTATAGGCCTGCAGTGCATGCTGAGAAATACATGTTAATAACTCTATGGCATCAAAGGCCCACAGTGATAAATTATCAACCTTCATAAGCCTGCAAACCACACAACAGATTGATTATCAGTCACAAAACCTCTCAGATCAATCACTAAAAAGTAGCTTCTGATGGTTTCTTCTGGAGTTTTCCTCTTGATTCTGATCCCAGTATCATAAACTTAATCGAGAACACTATAAATACAATTTCTGTCTTCAGTTGCACTGGACGTTGGACTTAATAATTTGGTAATTAGCAAAAAAGCTTGAATTACACTTTCACTTATAATTAAAAACTGTTAGACAAGAATTTTAACGTTTATTATATGGTAATAAGCAAAACTTAAAAGTAACAAATTTCAAAATGAAAACATATGCTAAGAAACAATGTTTCAACATCATCTTGACATCATTATCAAGTTAAAAACATGAGTTCGTGTTCCATTTATATGCCTAGGCAAGGTGAAAATAGTTTTGCAACTTTGCAATATTATTTAAAAAAGTGAAATATTTCGTTTGGCTCAACTGTGGCTGATGAAGTTTGGCTGAGCCGAACAAAATATTCCACTCTTTTAAAAAAAAAATTATTGCTCTGAGTACAGAAAATTATTTTAGATTTTTAATTAATGATTTACGTTTTGTTTTATAATTTTTAAAAATGAAAGTAAACCTACAAAAATGTCGGAATGCCATGTGTTCTTCTCTTATACTACCTCCTGAAAGCAGAAATTTCCTTACATTTAGATGACATTTTTTGATACGATTTTATAACATTTTAATTAAAATTGTTGATAAGTGTGTGAAGGCAATTAGCAAAATTAAATGTTGTTATATAGTCACAGAAGCACGCCTGCAGGTTATGACAGAAATGTTTAAATTGATAAGAGGTTAAATTATGTTGTGCTTAAAAAAGACACAATGTGAGAAGAAAACGTAAAAGAGCATTTGATAAAGGAATGTTGTTACTGCAAGTTTCTAATGTTAAATAGGACACAGGTCACACTATAAAGGGAAAGTACTCACTTCCTTACAAAACTGCATAGAAGTTCTACAGAAACTCCAAATCCATTCCACGCATAACATAACAAATGTTACAATATGTAGTTGTATATTTTAGACATATCTCCTGTTCTACTTGTTGCTTGAGTTAAGCTCGATGAATACATGTACATGGTTAAAATAACTGTTAATTGATTAATGAATATAAATGTTTAGTCATTCAAGATTAGATTAGTAACAATCATTGGATTAACAGTTATAATTAGGATATTGAGTCTTTCAAGTGCTTGTATCAAAGGAGAATGCACAAATACGTATTTTCTACCTACCCAATGGTTCCCATGTGGGTCTGAGGCCCTGCATTTATTGTGTTTATTGAAAAACAGGATTACTGCTTCTTCGGAGTCAAGATAACATCATGTTAACTCAAAAGTTTTATCTTTGGTTTAACGGTTTAGGCCTTGATGGGTTTATTGTAATGTTAACATTCAAATGTTTTATTCATATTTGAATTCCAAATAAACAATGTCTTTACATTTTATGTACCTTGAACTGCAAACAAAATGTTGAAATTGTTGCAAATTGGTCGCCAGCTATTGAGCTTACTTTGCAGTGATTTAATTTGGATGTATATCATCCCCAAATTCAGCACAAATTATGTACAAGTGGAGTACATGTAGAGTACAAGTGGTACATGTGAATACTGTAACCATATTTCCACAAAATGTGTCTGGTAAGAATACTACTCTGTGAAGGATCTAGGATGTATGTATATAATCCTTGGAAATACACTTTCCAGCATTTTGGGGAGAAAACCAAAGGATTCTCAATACTAAAATTCGATTTTTAGGGGGATCAATGCACTCCCAACCCTTCATGATTTGCTCCAGCTATTTGCACATGTACATGTTGTACAACTGTCTAGCTAATTTGATCTTTTTTACAATTCAGCTAATAATATTATCTCACCTGTTTTTGATGATGTTATGTTGACAATTAGGCAATCCAAACACAAAAATGCAGCAGTTTGAATTTGAGAAAGAAACACAATATATTCTCCACTTTTCAGATGTATACAGATCTACACTCTACAAATGAGCAAATTTACTACTTTACTAAATTTTCTCTAAATTGGGCAGTATGTTATGGACCAATAATTGCAGTTAGAAATTATTTAGGACAACACCAGATTTAATTTAGTGAACATATATATATACTGTTGGATGCAAAACTGTTTGATTGATATGTCTGCAATGCAACAGGGTCACTAATTTAATCAAATAACACCAAATTTGGGGATGATATCAAAAAAAATTACCTTTAGTTTGGGATTTAGGAAAACCTAGAAATTTGCATGAAAATTCAAAATGCAAATTTAAAGACATGTTCAAAGAGTCCTCAAAATTCATAGGCTGAGAAACAAAACTTGAAAATAAACATTCTGACAAGCAGAAAGTATTTGAAAGCAACGGTTACTTATTTTCGTGTTGTAATGAAAACAGACTTGTCCATAAAGGCCTCCAAAACAGGCCTAACCCACATGAGATCCTTCAGGTACTTACCTTCTGGGTTATGAAAACAGATAAGAGACTGCGTCTTGCCTTCTCGCTTCTTTGTGCTTCTAGATCTCTTAGCAAAAGGTCCTCCTTTTTCCATGGCACCTGGAGAGGGAGCTGCCTGGAGTGAGAGTGAACGACTAGTGACCGCAGGATGCTGGTTGGCGGTTCTCTGTGGCTGAAGTGGCCTTGACCCTGAAATACTGTCTCGGGAACTCTCTCGTCTCAAGGCTTCTCGTAGAATCAATTCTGAGCCTCGTCTTTGATTAAGGTTAGGCATGATCTCAGCTGTGAGTGAATCTGCACAACATGTAATAAGTCACAAAACATAATAGCTACAAGTGATAGCTCTATCAATATCAATTGTCACCCATTTCTATTAATTTCAGTGTGGTTTCTCCTGGAAAAACAAAACAATAAGCAATAAAGCAAACAGCATGGAGGCAGACAGTTCAGAAGGGCCTCTCCCAATGCAAAGAGTCACTTGCCCAACAGAACGAAACAAAGAGACAGAGAAGGAAGGCCCGAAGCCAGGGAGGCAGACTAGCATCAGACTGCAAAGACACCCAGTGTGGGGGAGAATATCACTCCCGAATCAGCCTCACCAGTCACACCTGTTGCTGTATCAGAACCAGAACTAACACACAGAGTGTGTATCTATAGTCTCTCGAGACTGATGGATACCCATTATTAAATTAGTGTGGTTTCTGAAATTCATATATAGTGAAAAATATGTAGTTCTACTATCTCTCAGCAATAAAAGTTGTTGCAAGTATTAATATACAACTGTTTTAATTTCTTTTCCCCCTTATGTTTGACGTATTACTTCAAACACTAACCAGTTGTGCCATTTCTCTTTATCGACTTTCTCTCGTTTTTTATTGACCTTTGTCTCTCTTTTCCTAGTACAGTCCTTTGTTTTGCTGTGTCTGTTGGTTTTGAACCATCTTCTTGCACAGCTTCAGATCCAGCTGAGTCCTGAAAATCACATCAAAATCATAATATAATTCACATAGATCAACCATGTCTTCAAGCCCACATAGCTTACCACAACAGCTCACTTATAACTCCAGTTTCCCTGACTGGTATGACGATACCATTAATAAGCAATGTCCCTTGGCCTAGATAGAATTAGAGATGTGCCCATTACAGGTAAGTCCTTGACAAAGAACATCTTTGTTGGTTTACCCTCAGAATTTGTGTGGCACTCATTTATATCCCTAGGTCGATAAAGGCACAGTGAGTTTTAAAATCTCACCCTTTCTCACACAGACCCAGCCAAACCACAGACTGCGACCTCTGCTTCTTAACTGGAACACTGTGTTAAGTGAACCATGGACAACCTACTCTTCAAACAAGATCAAGGAAAATACTCCAATGGTGGATCGTGCTCTTGAAAGAATATTTGCGCTCACTAAATCCTAGCTAGAAGTGTGAACCCTACCTCCTCTGCTTCTTCATCATCTAACTGTAAAGATTTCAACTGTTCTTGCCTTTTCTCAGACGCTTGGTGATATGCAATGGGATCACACAGTGCGGCTGCAAAATCTGTGGATAAATTAGACAACAACAAATTAGCATTTTTAAACACACTGAGACCGGTTTTAATATCATAACTGTTTTATTATGAGTTCCTGACATGAGCTATGGACCTGTTTCTCAAACATACACAATCCTTTTGGACAAGAATTGGAACAGCTGGGTAAAAGAGCATTGTGTTTGGCAAATCGTTTAAAGAAAGTCTTGAGAAGTTTAAGAGTACTACTACATCCAAAAATATTTTGCAAACACTCAAGAACAGTCATGACAACATACCACAATGAAGATAACATTATTGGGGGTTTCATTACCCATTTTGGCAGGAGGGCAACTGGTTTTTACAGGTGGGAAAAAACTGAATGTCTTTATAAGAAAAACTCTCCTTTAGATGCTCAAACCAGGCATGCAAAATTGTCCTT